GAGTCACGGGGTTTCCCAGCGAGCGCCCCTCACATCCACCTCCATGCCAGGGAGTCACAGGTTTTCCCAGCGAGCGCCCCTCACGTCCACCTCTGTGTTTCTTCTCTGACCTCTTGGCTCTGGAATTGAGGAGAGGGAAGTGTTATCCGGTGATGTCATTTATGTAATGCTAGGATCAGCCAAGGAGTGAAAATCCTGCTCTTTCAAAATGAATGGTTGGTTTGTAAGGGCTTTTGCTGAACTTTGCGCCAGTACCCGGGAAGAAATGCGCATTTATGGTGTCTTTGGCCTCAGAACAGCTAATCCCAGGGCCCGATCTTTGCCCTCTTCTCCACCTCCATACACACATGGAGGCATTGGTCTATGGAAACCGTTTACTCAGAGGACAGGCGGCCCTCGCGTAGCCCAGATCACCAAGTCTCTGTCTGGGTGGCAGCTTTCAGCTGGCTCTCCTCTGCGTCTGTGCTGGAGGTGATGAAACCCCTGGATCCCACCTGCCCTCATCAGGCTCCACACAGGGAAGGGACAGCCTTGTCCTGAGGCCTTTCACGCTGAAGCTAAACCTCCCCATTATGAGTCAATGTGGCGTTACTGGGAAGGGGTGACATTTCTCAAGCCCCTTCTGTGGTCTTGCCACAGTGCCCTGCCCCTTCCTCTCTCACTCTGCTGCTCCTCACCGGGCATCAGGGGCAGGCGGATATGCCTCACCTAACACACAAGGAAGAAAGGCCCAGACAAGTTGGGTACCTTGCCCTCATCACAGGGCTCATCAGTGCTGGACATCCGAGTATGAAACTGCCACCACTCCCATGCCTGCTTCTTCTCTACAGAGATGACTTCAATTTGGGAAAACTTGAATGAGTCTTATCATATTCCCACAGCCTCCTGTTCCAGAACACACTGATTTTTTCATTTCCAGACAGTTTCCCCAGGAGCTTTCAACTTCCTATTCCTTATAAGAAATACCAAATGCATTACTCGTGTCCTTGGAATATTCCCTAAGAAAATAAGGACATCCAGCTCGTAGGAATTCCAGGGAGATAAATGAAAAATAAATGAGG